GGTGCTTCGGTGAAGTTCAGCAGCTAGCCGCGCCTCGGGTCCGTCGGAGCTGGGGGGGGGGGGTACCTGGGACACCAACACAGTCCGCACTAAGGCTCTCCAACTCGTCACCGAGCCGTCGCGCCGTCGGAGAGCTCGGACGCGAGGCCCCGATGGACCCCTTACGGCGCATGCGCCGCTTGGGTTCCATCGAGGCCGCGTGCGAGATCGCGACGCGGGGTTCGATGCACAGTGAGCTTTAAAGGGCTGGTAACCTGTGAATGGGGTTGAAGTACAAGGGCGCAGAACCCCTGATCCGTTGGTAGAGGGAAGGAGGGATAGATGGATGTCTTCCCCTCCTGCACGATCAAAAGTCTGATCGATCTGCCCCAATACCTGAGCCCAAACGGCCAGGCGCAGGAGAGGTGAGGATAAGGAGTATATATGAGGGTATTACACGGGTTCTATTCACAGTGCGAGAAGGGGGCTCTACTCAGGGCGAGCGCGGCTTCATGCGCATTATGAGCTCTCGAGCAGCGTTGCGGCACACTCCGCGCGCGTCGGACGGCGGTCGCTGAGGCTGACCGAGCGCTCGATGACACGAGTGACCACAAACTGCTTACCCAGCGGTATAGACAACCATATTCGATCAGCGAATGCGGCATCGTGATTCCATTGGGCCCGAGAGATGATACGACAAAGGTTGCATGGAGCGAGTGGGCGTCCTGGGCACCCTCGAAGTATAGCGTTACGAGTGAACCCGGAGGCCTCAATCATCATATCCTTGTGGGAAGCGAGAAGAAGAGGGGAAATCCGCTCAGACTCATCAGCTAGTTGGAAACGTTGTTCGGGGGGCGTCGAGAACGTGTGGGAGATCCCGCGATCTCGGGGTCGAGCAGTCTTGCGTCGTGCCAAAGTAGCGCTGACAACAGCGTGATCGGAGATTTTGGCCTGGCTCAAGATCTCTGGGTATCTGTGGACTCGAGCGCCTGGGCAAGTTTGGGTGATGGACCATCCAGGCGCTGAAACAAACAATCCCCCAATTCTACTGACGGCCCCCTCCACAACGCAATGGTGGGTTTGAAATTGAATCCCGATGTCCACGAGCTCACGGGGGAAGATGTTCCACGGCCCCCTGGATCGCGAGGAAGGGGCAGCAGGGACAGCGGCAAGGATGGGGGCAAAATCGCATTTATTTCTTGGGGGGGCAGGCGTCGGAGAAATGGAAGTTGCCCCCCACGAAGATGAAGCCTATGAGGGGGCCCTGGAGGAGCCATCGAGGCCGTCTGGAATCTTATCCATGACAAGGTTTCGCTGCGAAGCTCAGAGCCCGTGGTTATAGATGTTGAAGAAAGGAGCCCACTCACACACCCGAGGGAAACAAAACCAGAACATTCTGAGCACGACCCTGAGCCAAAACGAGATGCTCGACTGAGCCGAACGCCGCGAGTGAAATTGGAACCGGGGATCAGAGTGACTGCGCCGCCGGCAGCATGCGCACCAGCCCCGTGGAACGAGCTAGAGGCGACTACGGGGTGATGAGGTAGAGGAGGAGATCTTTGCGCCTGGTCTGTCCCATGGGTCCCCTGGAGCCCCAGAGTCGCCCCCTTGCCAAGAAGCCCCTCGAGGTATCTGATTCTCCTGCCCTGAATCCACTATCGATGATGAAATAAGGCTTGTCCGTTCCACGTCCCCACGGGAATCGGAGCAGGAGAGGTGGCACTGCCGCTCCACGCCGCGAACAAAAGGGTACAACAGAAACTGGTGTACAGCTTCAGCCGCAGGCGTCATCCTCTCGAGCTGCTCAACGATGGTGGCACGGTCGGAGTGGGTGCTGTTGGGGTCGCCGAAGTCGAAGGTGGGCTCGGGACCGACCCCAGGAGAAGGAGTGATGCACATCATGGGCTTCCACATCGTAGAAGTCTCGCCACGCTGCTTGTTGACATGGGGGCTCGCCGCAGGATAGAGACGCACCAGCACAGCCTTGGCCCTTGGCCTTCTTCGCGATGATCTCGCGCTGCACCTGCATCGGGGACTGGTCGATGAAGGCGCAAACTTCTGACGAACATTTTTGCACATCATGAGCTTGAAATCGTTGCCACTCCTGTGCGCCGACCTTGAAACTGCCAATGAACTGAAATGCCTTCCTGGCCGCGTAGAACTGGTCACCTTTGACTCGGACCGTGAGCCTGCTGGCGGCGGGTTCGTTACCAACCGTCATGTTGCTCTTCTCAAGGATCAAGACCACCACCTCCTGCGCGACCGCTTTACGAGTTTTCACGCTCTTGGGGCGGAGGACGATCACCGCAGGATGAACTACACGATCGAATATATTGTCCTCATTTGTGGGTACTTGAAGACCTTCCTTTTGCATTTTGCCGGAGATGGACTCGAGTTTTTCGATTTTTCTTCCAGCGTCTGAACAAGAGAATCAGTACTGCGTTGTTTTGTTATCTCCAGGTTGGCAACTCGGCTCTGAACTTGCTTGCTGAGCGCGGTGTAAGGTGTGCATCGTCGCGGC